TTTTTAGGTTGTAATATTTTTTTTCTTACTAAATAACTTTTTCCACAAATTTTATTTAAATTTTGGGGAAAACCCGCGCTTCAAAATTTCTTAAAACTTTAAAATTATTGCGAATCTTCGTTGAAGAATTTTTTTTTAAAAAATAATTATGTTCAAGTCTTTAAAAAAATAAATTTAATTGAAGTATTTTTTAATTTTTTAGGTGTATTTTTTTTACTAATAACTTTCACAAATTTATTAAATTTTGAAAACCGCGCTTCAAAATTTAAACTTTAAAATTATGCGATTCGCCGGAAAATCGATTGGAACCGTCAGTTTTGTCACCGTACCGGAACCGTTCGATTCCAAACCGGAACCGGAACTTTTCGGTTCGGTTCCGGTTCCAGTTTTTTTGGAACCGGAACCGTTCGTTCCGGAACCGTGGCCACCCCTACTAATATACAATTATAATTAACGTGATCATATATTAGAAAGACCATCATAGTTTTAAATAATTATTTAATATTCTTTATTATTTTAATAGTCAACTGCAGCGCCACCAGTATATGAAAGACAATTGGGCTCGCCTGTGGTAATTTTCATTGCTAAAGCTCGAACTCAAAACTTTTGATTAAAGGAAAAAAAGTTCAAACTATCCCATTACAATCAACGTTGGTTTAACGTTGAAATTCGGATCCTTTAGTCGGATAATAATTTCACTCTCAGGTTATCCAAACCCATGCCCAATTTATTATTTGCCAAATTTCCAATTCTTCTAGCAAAACCTTTTTTTTTTAAAGGACTCTTCTAGCAAAACTTGGAACTTGGTATTTGTATAAGGGAGTATGATAGCTTTTAGGGTTAAAAAGAACTCCTTTTTCATACCTCTCAATCTGTGAATTACAAAGTTTATATACACAACATATAATTATTATAGAATATTTACAATAATTGCGTTTGATCCTTTCCTTATTTGCTCGATCCAATTTCTTTATTTTTCTGATTCTGATCCTTTCATTATTTGCTTGAGTCTGAACCTTTCCTTATTTGCTTGATTCGATCCTTTCCTTATTTGCTTGATCCTATTTCCTTATTTTTCTAATTCTGATTGATTTCATTATTCTTACACTCCCCCTCAAGTTGGGTCATAGGGTCTCTGACACCCAACTTGACTAATGCTTGATTGAAGATCTTTCCTGGAACTACTTTGGTGAGTATATCTTCCAACTGCTCCTCAGACCGAACAAATGGCAAACAAATGCTTCCCTCTTCAAGTTTCTCCTTGATAAAGTGTCTGTCAACTTCCACATGTTTGGTCCTATCATGTTGTACTGGATTTTTAGAAATGCTTATATATGCTCTATTATCACACAGCAGTTTGCAGGGCCTTCCTGGAGGGAAACCTAACTCTGTCAATAACTTCTTCAACTAGTGACCTTCGGCTAAACCCCGTGCAATCCCTCGAAACTCTGCCTCAGCACTGGAGAGTAGTGACCTTCGGCTAAACCCCGTGCAATCCCTCGAAACTCTGCCTCAGCACTGGAGAGGGCTACCACCTTCTGCTTTTTACTTCTCCAGGTGACCACGTTACCGCCAACAAGAGTGAAGTACCCTAATGTCGATCTCCTGTTAATCGGATTCCCCGCCCAATCAGCATCAGTGTAGGCTTGTATTTCTAAGTGACTATGCTTCTGGAATAACACTCCTCGTCCTGGTGTTCCTTTTGAATATTTGACAATCCCGAGTGCTGCTTCCATGTGGTCAACGTGGCTTGTGCATGAATTGACTAACTACCCGAACTGCATAAGCAATGTCAGGTCTAATATGTGAGAGATAAATTAGCTTCCCAACTAGCCTTTGATACTGGCCACGATCAGCTAACTCAACTCCTTCAGTGATCTTGAGCCCATGATTGACTATCGTTGGGGTTTCAACCGGCTTTCAATCCACTAATCTTGCCTCTGTGAGAAGGTCAAGTATATATTTTCTTTGTGAGATGAAAATTCCCCCTTTTGACCTCAAGACTTCGATGCCCAAAAAATATTTTAGTCTCCCAAGATCTTTCACATTTTCAAATTCTTCCGAAGAGCCTCTTTCTTAATGATACTATCTTCCTCTGTGTTCATCTCCTGTGATAATCATATCATCCACCATATTAATTAGCTCTTCTCCTGTGATAATCATATCATCCACATATTAATAGCTCTCCTTTCTTCTTTATAAAGAGTGTATGGTCAGAATTACTTTGACAGTATCCATATCTTTTCATGGCCATAGTAAATCTCCCAAACCAGGTCCTTGGAGACTGTTTGAGCCATATAATGCCTTTTTCAGTTTATATCCTTCCCCAGCTTTGAACCCCTTTGTAAAACCTGGAGGAGCTTCCATATAGACTTCTTCTTCTAGGTCACCATGTAAGAAGGCATTTTTCACATCGAACTGATGTAATGGCCAATCAAGATTTGCAGCTAATGAGAACAACACATGTATCGTATCTATCTTGGCCACAGGAGAGAATGTCTCTGAGTAATTTATACCATAAGTCTGTGTGTACCCTTTGGCAACAAGTCTAGCCTTATATCTTTCAATGGTTCCATTAGCACGATGCTTTATTGTAAAGACCCATTTGCAACCAACTGGCCTTTTTCCTTTCTGGTAACTTGCATTGCTCCCAAGTAACATTTTTCTCCAGTGCATCTAGTTCAACTTGCATAGCTTGTCTCCATTGTTGGCTGTTCTGAGCTTCTTCAATAATTCTTGGAATATCCTCCGAATATATTGACATTTCAAAGGCCTTTGCAGATTCAGATAAGCTCCCCCTGATTAAGTTTGCCATTGGATGTCTTGAATTTCGAGGCTCATAATTAGGGTCATACCTCTTTGGTGGCACTCCCCGATTGCTTCTTGGTGGAAGAACATACCTCTTAGTTTTTGGTACCTCTTAGGCTGTCAAATTAGTCATTTCACCAGCAGTTATATCTAAAGGAGCCTCAGGAGTGAAGTCACTAACCTCAGGTGTCACGCCCCGACTCTAATCACCAGAGGAATTGTCCGCTTTGGTGTAGTCCACGGACGTCCTACACCTCACTGTAGTCCCTGCACGCCCTACCTGCACGGTTTTGTCCCGCAGGTGAAATGGGAAACTTCCCAAGAGGTCACCCATCCTGAGATTTCTATTAAGCGAGCACGCTTAACAGATTTTCATATTTAAGCGAGCACGCTTTAACCTTGGGATAGAGTTCTTCCAACTCTCTAGCCATTCCACCAAAAGACACCTCTAATAATTAGTTTCACCCTTTTCGATTCGATATATGATTCGATTCATTCCTATGTCCCGCATTCCACTACCCTAGCTAGCCTGCCATCCTAGGATCGCTTTGCCGGGTCGGGATGTCACATCAGGAATATCGATTGGAGAGGATTCAACATGATCTGATGTAATGGACTGTTCCATGTTATCAGAAGCAGATACGGTGATCTCGCCTACTTGCTTTGTTGGGACAGTTTCAGGCAAGATTGGACTATGTAACCAACTTAGTGGATCATTTCTAGAACTCTCCCCTTAATCACTAGGTTGGTTGTGAAAATAGTAATCAGTTTCAAGAAAGTCACAGTCCATTGTGGTATACATATGACCATATTGAAGATCAAAACACCGATATCCTTTTATATGAATCCCATAGCCAA